TGGGATCTTCTGACCTAAGAATGAATTTATTCCTGTAAAATCTAGAGAGAAAGAGAGAAAAAAGAAGAAGAAGAAGAAGATGAAGATGAAAAAAGATGGAATAACTGAGAATATTTACATTCATCTAAAGAATTGTAAAATACATACAAAACATAGTTAGGGTGTTTAATTACCGGTAGCTCTCTAGGGTTTGGTCATCCTTCAAGATTTGCCATCGCCGGCACTGAGGTAGTGGTTCTGCGACAGAAGGAGGTGCTACGCAACGGGCAACAGCGGTGGATCAGTGATGGCAGATCCAACACTGATGATGATTGTTGTTGTTGGGAATGAGAGTTTCAATGCTAGGGTTTCTACAAGGGAGAGAAAGATAATAAAACCCAAGCTATTGCTAAGTGAGTAGTGAGAGGGTGATAGGGTTAGACGGGGAGACGAGGAGAGAGGGGGCTTCCGTCTCAAGCCCACTTTTCTTGTAGTGTATAATCACTCACACTTAATTAAAAATATATATATATAATCACATTTAATCAAAAAGTGTGGTTAAAATATATATATATATATATATAATCACACTTAATTAAAAGTGACATAAAAAATAAATATTATTACACTCAATTAAATTAAGCGTGATTAAAATATCAATTTAATTTTTTTTTTCACACTTCTAATAAAAGTGAGATATTTTCATTTATCAAAGTGTGATCTTTAACTGTTTTTGTACTAGTGATATAATTACACTTTAATTAGAATGTGTGATTAAAAAATACATATATAATCACACTTTAATTAAAAGGTGTGATTAAAAAATATATAAATAATCACACTTTAATTAGAATGTGTGAATAAAAAATATATATATATAATTGCACTTGTTTAAAAAATGTGATTAAAAAGTAGTAGTATATATATAATCACACATATATTTATTACACTATCAAGGGTAGAAACAATAAAATATGCCCCCGTCACCATCCTTCAGTAAGATTATAGATCAACATGCTTGTCAAAAACATCCATTTTTTTCCAAGTTGTCTATAGTATGGTCAAGAAATAGTAGGAGAGCAAATTTTTTTTTTTTTTTTTTTTTTTGTTGTCAAAGTGTGATCTTTAACTATTTTTGTAGTAGTGCCACTTCATTTAGTCAACCAAACAGAGAATATACCCCATAGGCTTCCGACCAGTATAATTATCATACAAAATACATTCAGTTGCTATTTTATGAAAATTTCATCTGCGGGAATCGGCATCTATGTATGCGTGCGATTTTCGGGACTTTCACCCTAAACATACAAACCAACTTAGTTTAATGGAGTCCATTTTCTTCTCCCAAATATGGAGTACATCCATTTTCTCCTCTCAAACATCATACATATACAATGTATATATATCATAATTATATTTAATGACAATGGCTAAGAGATTAGTTTCAATCGCCTAATCCTCATGCAATTTCTACAACAATTACGGCTATCTTCCACCGATAGCCCAAAATAGATATTTCTAAACAGATATACAATCTCAACGAGAGATAAATTATCCAAATTTCCATAGGTGAGAGGTGATATATATCTAACTCCACCATTTATATAAACGTTCATCTAATTCCACATTTCCAATGCCAATTTCATTTATTTATACAAAGTAATTGCTTGAGCTATTTTATGGCAAACTTCCTTTTTTTCCAACATCCACTCCAAGTACCAAAATCGATCATTTTAACATAGCGCAAGTTTATATTCACTCCCATAACCATTTTCAATACATCAATTCAAAAATCCCTCTTTTGATTTTATACCAAAACCCTAGGTTTGTTCAAAATTACTTCAAATCCCAATATTTTTTACACATCAACAAATAACTAAGTTAAAACTCATAGAAGAGTGGAGAAATCCCTACCTCGAAGTTAGAAGTTGAGCAAGCTAGGTGGAAACTTCAAAGATGCTCATATACACCTCTATTCAGATAGAAATGTAGCTCTTGAGATGCTCTACCTTTTTAACAAAGGCACACGGGTAGAGAAACAAACGGATGTAGGTGACAATGTATAGAGAATGTAGGTTTTAGAGAGAGAAGCTCTAGATCTAGGGTTTTGGAGATTTTAGAGAAAGAAGGAGATGAAAAAGTGATGAGAAATGTGGTTGTTACGAACTGATATACGCATAGTTCGCTTGAGCGCAAGAGTTGCCGCTTGAGTGTTAGACACAACAAATTGTTCCACTCGAGCGCAAGAAGTGACGCTCGAGTGCAGAATACACACATCTAGTAGTTTTGCAGACAACAGACCAACGCTTAAGCGCAAGTATGGCCGCTCGAGCTGAGCCCGCTTGAGCGCATAAAGAACCGTTCGAGCGTAGAATACACTCTCCTAGTAGTTTTCCATACCTGCAAAAGTACTGAAAGTTTGAAAAGTCTACTCAAACGTATAAAATGAGACTTGTATGTAAATATCTCTTATTTAAATGACTTACTTATACTCATAAAACTTCATGAGTAATTCAATTGAAAAAAAAAAAGAGAAATTCTATTTCCACACCTTACTTCTTCTTTTTCCATATCTTTTTTCAATACACACACTAAATAAATTTAAATTATCAACTTTCACTCAATGCACATCTTACCATACTAAAAATACCCTTATCATCTTCATCCTCCAAACCCTAACCCTAACAAGCCACCACCGCTGTTGTTGTTACTGGCAGCACCTCTACTACTCCCAGCAACCTAAGCCCTAGCCAATTAAGTATCGAGGAGTGGAACATCTATTAGACATGCCAGTCCACTACTATAAGATTGCCCAAACATAACATTGTTGGAGATGTTATTAATGACATTAAGACAAAGGTAAAACCTTCTGTTTTTGGTGGAACATGTTTCACATATTTTTGCATAGATGTGCCTCTATTGATTGGATTACAATAATATTTTTCTGACCTCTGTGCAAAAGTATACTTTTTCTTATATTTACAATTACATAAATTAGTTAGAGAATCTTTTAATTTTGCTCGCAGTTCATATACTCGGTCATGGATGGTGATGGTGGAAATTGATGGTTTGAGAAAGTTAGAGTTAGGATTTTGGGAAAGTGATATTTTGGTAATTTAATTTTAAGACAAAAATGTGATTAAAAAAAATATTAAGTGTGTGGAAAGAGAGGAAGTAGCGTGTGGAAATAGAATTACCTAAAAAAAGTGAAGGTACTCACATAACAAATCAATCTAAGTCTTCTTCTTACAAATTTCAATTCATTAGTCACTGTTAAGTTTGATTTGTCAAATTTTTTGATTTGGAGAAGTCAGCTTTAGAATGTTCTTAGAGCAATTGATCTTCTTGATTTCGTTATTGGTTTGGTACCTTGTCCTGTATCTGATATTCTTGATTCCTCTGGAGCTACTGTGTCAAATCCTGAATTTCTAAAATGGAAGACAATGATGCTCATCTTTTGAGTTTGATCACTACAACACCCTCACCTTTTGTATTTTCTTCAGTACTTCATCACCAACATTGCTTTCAAATCTGGAGTGCTCTCGAGAAGAAATACACTTCCTTATCTCGATCTCATATTCATCGCCTGAAAATTCAGTCACAATCAACCACAAAAAGAGGTGCTACGATGGAAGAATATTTGGCTAAGATCAAGGAAATTTCTAATCACCTTCAACTTACTTCTTCAATGGTTGATGATGGAGATCTTGTACCTATCACTCTCAATGGATTACCTGATGAGTATAATGCTCTCAAGACTGCAATTCGTGCTCGAGTATAGTCTATTTCAATGGAGGATCTGTGCTCCTTCCTTTGTTCTGAAGCCATCCATATAGAGAACAAAACCAAACTAGTTCTGCACAATGAGTCTACAGTTGCTTATTTTACAACCAAAAGTTCTGAGAATTCTCAACCTTATTCTCAATATTCAAGGACTCATTCCTTTGTATAGTCTAGTTACAGAGGCATAAATTCTTCCCATGGTTTCGAGGTGGACGATATAGAGGAGGTCGATCAAATTGATCTTACAGAGAAAGATTTGGAGGAACTAGTCCTAGTTCTTCAAATACTTCTGGTTGCCAGATATGTGGAGGCTTCAATCATATTGCTTTGGACTGCTGGTTTCGTATGGATCCCAACTATCAGTCATCTCAATCTTCTTCATCCTCTATTCCTTCCATGCCTTCATCTAAGGTTTATTCAGTCACTACTAGTCCAATTTCTTCCAATCAGAATCAGACTTCTTTTCCTCCAGATTCCTCTGTTACACCTTGGTATATTGATTATGCTACCACAAATCATATCACCAATGACCTTGGCACACTACTAGGAATATGACTTTTTGCGTTTATTTTTTTGCGACGGATGATTTAGTGGTCGCAAAAAATCACTTTTTACATTAAAAAAAGAAGACCCGCGTTGTTAAAAAACTATCTCCCCTTTTTCACTTATTCCCCAAATCTCTCTGTATGAACTCTCTCTCTCTCAAAATCTCTCTCACTCGACTCTCTTTTGACTCTCCACCCTCTCTCGCTCGAATCTGACTGGTCGAAGCTCTTCATATGCATCGCCATTCTCACACTCTTCGGAGCTTTTTGAATTTACGTTTTCTCCTCAAATTTACAAACTGAGACAACCATTTATAAACCAAAAAAATTATCAAAAAAGTTTTTATGACAGTTTTTAAAATTTTTGTAAATATAAATTGAAAACTGAAAATGAAATGGTTACCAAACAGGTCTCACACTACTAGAAATATGACTTTTTGCGTTTATTTTTTTGCGACGGATGATTTAGTGGTCGCAAAAAATCACTTTTTACATTAAAAAAAAAAGAACCGCGTTGTTAAAAAACTATCTCCTCTTTTTCACTTATTCCCCAAATCTCTCTGTATGAACTCTCTCTCTCTCTCTCAAAATCTCTCTCGCTCGACTCTCTTTTAACTCTCCACCCTCTCTCGCTCAAATCTGACTGGTCGAAGCTCTTCATATGCATCGCCATTCTCAGACTCTTCAGAGCTTCCAAAGCAAATTAATCAACCACAACACATTGTAGCGATCTTCTTCTTCTTCATCTCTCTCTCTTTCTTCAATCGCCGGAGCTTCCACGGCTGCTTATTCCGCTGTCGGATCAGTCTTCGTCGCCTTCAAATCCGTCGAAATTTCTGCTCATTCTAGCAATTTGAAACTCTCTAATTTCCGACATTGCTCTCCGATTTCAAGCCGAGTCGGATCTATTTAGCTCTGACATAGCCTTAACTCGCATTGCGGATCCCGAAGCTCCTTTGCTTCGTCTGGTAATCATCACTCTATGTTCTGTTTAATGATATCACTAAATGAATTGAATCGAATCAGTTAATTTAATCTATCACCCATGCTTCTCTCTCTATCTGACTTAGGAAATCTAGGTTTTCAATTTACTCTCTCTCTCTCTCTCTCTCTCTCTCTGTGTGTAGGTATTCGTTCTCTTTGTTTTGGCAAATCCTCTGATCACTGGTCGAAGCTCTCCTTTGGATCACAAGCTTCGAAGTTTGCAAAAAATGTGAGGGATTCACAGCTTCAGGTGCGTCTCTTTCGTTCTTTTTCTTTACATTATTTAGCTTTCTTGTGATATTATTGTGTTTGGTTGCCGAGAAAATGTTGGAAAACGATCTCTTCTTCACATCCACTGAAGCCAAGTATTTTTCGTGAGGTTTAAATTTTAATTTTCTTGCATTTTATAAAATGTTGGCCGTTTCGAGTGCGTTTGCAGGGGCGAAGGTGGAGAGTCTCCTCCTCAGTAACACCGGCGGAAGCCCCTCCTCATTGTCGAGGTCGTCTCAAATTCCGGTGTTCTGCAAACCATCTCGTACCAGACGAGCCCTAATTCAGAGAGGCGGTCTCAGCATTCGTTGCGAGATTGTTTCAGAGGTCTTGGTCGATCCAAACAGGGCCTCGGTTTCTCCTTGTCCAAGCCTTTCTGCACTCGAACAACTCAAGGCATCCGCCGCTGACAGTAAGTTAACATTTCTCTTACATAGTCATGATATTTTGTTTTCGTTGCGATTTGGAATCATTAACTTTTGATTTCGTTATGAATGTGATAGATTGCATCTCGTACATGATTATATACATGCATGTGTTGAACATTGAATCTGCATCTGACGATATGTATTTGGATCAGTAACTAAAAAATTGTGAAAGTTGAATGTATGTATCTCCCAATCATAATTGACACTTGTTTGCAAATTACTTTGTTGGTTCATTTGTGATTCGTAATGACAATGATGTTTTCTGAATTTCTCAAGTCTCAATAAATTCAACATGATATATTTGATGCATCACAAATATCACAAATATAGTTTTCTTTGACATATAGATATGTTCATAGCATATAGTTTTCTTGGGCAGTTATAATTAGAGATGTTCAATTATTGTGTGTGTAAATAATCCAATACCTGACCTAAAAAAGTAAAAAACGCAACACTTGGATTGCCAAAAAAAGGCTACAGTCTCAGTTTATTGTTGGGGTAACTGAAATTTTGGACCTACATAATGGACACCAACTTGAGTGTTGGTGTATGATGGATCCAATTTGTGAATGCCCAGAAAAGGATAAGGCACTTTTCTTGTTTTAATTTGGTTCCCAAACAAATTATGCCACAAAAGGGCATGCCTGAAAAAGGAAAGAAGTAAATGATTAAATAGGTAGGAATTGGGAAGCATTTGGATAAATATAATCTCTTAGTTTTTGAAGAAATGGAAATTATGATCGTTTTGGCAAGAGAAAATGACTAGTGAATTAAGGTACTCCTGTGGGCCCCAAACCACGGTTTAGGAAATCAAAATTGTCAAGAAACTAAATTCTTGTAGATAAGAGATGACAATATGAAAAGACTTAAAATAGTTATACCATTGTTAATTTTTGCTTCAGCCTATTTGTTGGAAGCTTTTGGACTGTCTGTTTGGATGATTTATGAGTGTTTAGTAGTACATCTGATTATAATGAAATGGTTTGTTTGTTTGTGCTGTAGAGATGCATCCTTGACATTGATGTTCAAGGGGCAAGGTCTGTGAGGGCTAGTTCTCTTGAAGCCATTTTTATCTTTATCTGCCCACCATCATTTGAGGAGCTTGAGAAGCGCCTTCGTGACAGGTGTGACCTAAAGCTTGAGATTGAGAACCCATCTAACTTTTGCATTCCCTTATGGTTGCTGAGTTCTTAATTTTTTATTTTTTGTTTTTTCTCAGGGGGACTGAGACAGAAGAACAGATCCAAAAGAGACTCCGAAATGCTAGGGCAGAGCTTCAGCAAGGACAATCACCAGGCCTCTTTGAACATATCTTGGTAAACGATGATCTTGAGACTTGCTATGAGTGGACCGTGAGCTGTTCTGTAATAGCGTGACTTTATGATTAATCAAGACATTTTTTTTTTTGCTGACTCCAGAGCTGGGAAGAACAGACACTTCAAAATGGGTGTCGTGTCCGTGTCCAACATGTATCAAGCACCGGCACACCATGGACAAGCGTGTCCACGTGTCGAACATGGCATGTGTTGTGTCAATTATTTTAATTATTAATGTTTTTTTGCAGGACACGTTAAGCAAACTTCACGGACCTCCATGTGTGCCAATTTTTTTAATTATTATTTTTTTGCAGGACACATTAGGAGCACTTCAGAGATCTTCATGTCCTATGTTTGGACACACCTTATGACACCTTTATGGGTTTGTTTTATATAGAAAGTTGATTTGGGTTCAAAGTAAAATATATAGAAGTATGATGTTCTCTGATAATGTTACGAGATACATACTTTTGTTGAGGAAAAAAGAAAGAAAATAAAAAAGAAACTGTTTGTTTTGATGGTGGCCTCTTCAAAATGATTTAGTTGAATATTCTACTTTGAGTATGGGTACAAAAAGTGTTTTCCTATTTTCTGAATTATAATGCAGGTATACGTACAAGATAGGGCATATGTTGTTAAATGGTACATATATATGGACTCAGATGTACCAGTTCAGGGCATCACCTTATTCACCAAGAGGGAGGGAAATTTGCTACCCTTCAAATTTCATTCCTATTAATTTGTCCCAGTGTCCTTTGAAGTTATTTTTGACAAAATACTTGATTCCCATATTTTGTAGTCTTGATATTGAATATTTTTTACTTTTAAGTGCTTGTTCTATATAGGTACATGATTTCGGTTTCTGTTTGATTTTGCAGAGTGAGGTCAAATGATATGTTTTGTGATGACATTTTTGGAGAGTCACCTGCTGGAGTTCGTAAAACAGTAAGTCTTGTGCTTAATTTTTTTTTTTAATCCATTATATGCTGGTATATTCTTTTACCTTGGTTGCAGTATCCTATTGTCGGCTGGCCTTTAATAAGAAATCATAAATGAGACATGTTGTCACTAGTCCAGAAAATGTACAAGTCTTTCTTTTCAATTTATCATATAACTCTGTATTAATTTATACCTTTACGTTTAACATGTACTGGCTTGTCTTTAGGTTTTCTTTCTTGGTTCATTATGACTTATTAATCAGCTCCAGCAGCTAGGCAAAAATTGAGGGAAACAATTTCGTGCATGCATGAATGTTTCATAATTAGATAATGGATTATAGTTTGTGAATTTTGTTTCCCTCAATGTTTTGAGAAAAACAATTTTGTGCATGCATGAACTAAACTTTTTCTATGGAGCTGATTCTTTGTTACTAATATATTGATGTATATTTTTGCAGGTAGTGTTGAGGGAGTAGTTGATATGATTGAGTGGGTGATATTGAGAGTTAAATTCAGTTTTTTTTTTTTTAGTACTTGAATCTATTAGTATTTTGTATAAATACTTTTAAGGATGGTTGATGGATATTTGTTTTGTGTGTATAGAAGTTTATATTTTGTATGCACATTTTTTTTTTTTTTTAAGAAAGATAATTTTGTTGAGGGAAGTGATGGAAAATAATACATGTGTATTAGAATTTTTGCAAATATCACTTTATATTTATTGTATATACTACTTGAATATATATATATATATATATATATATGAGAATATAGGTTGCTAAAACATTGTAGGTATTTTATTTATTTATATTTGTTTTGCGACGGTAACAAGATGGTCGCTAATACATTGTAGGTATTTTTTTAATTTTTTTGCGACGGCAAAATATTAGTCGCGATAAGTAGATTAGGCGGTCGCAGATAGTTTGCGACTGCTATTTTGCGGTCGCAAAAAGTATTTGCCACCCCCACATTCGCGACCCCCATTTGCCGTCGCATGGGCCGTCGCAAAAAGTCTTTTGCGACTGTTTTTTATTATTTGCGACGGTTTATAGCGGTCGCAAAAAGTGGTTTTTTTAGTAGTGTCTGTAGGTGGTCACTAAGTGAATTTTCTCTGTAGTTGGTCACTAAGTCAATTTTCTCCGAATGTTGCCAACGTGTGAATTTTCTCTGGAGTTGGGCACTAAGTGACCCCCACATTCGCGACCCCCATTTGCCGTCGCATGGGCCGTCGCAAAAAGTCTTTTGCGACTGTTTTTTATTATTTGCGACGGTTTATAGCGGTCGCAAAAAGTGATTTTTTTAGTAGTGGCAATTTTCATCTCTACCATCCATACCAAGGACATGATCAAGTGACAGTTGGAAGTGGTCAAAATGTTCCTATTCAACACATTGGTAAAGGTCTGTTGCCTCCTCCTCAATACTCTTTTCAGCTTAACAATCTTCTACATGTTTCTCACATTTCTTCCAAACTCTTATCTGTTCATCAGTTAGCTAAGGTTAATAATTGTACAGTTACCTTTGATGCTAATTCCTTTGTTATTCAGGACAAGCTTACGAAACAGGTTCTGCACCAAGGTCCTAATGTGCATGGTCTTTATCACTTTGCCTCCTGCTTCTGCTCACCCTACTACTGCCTCTACTTAGCCTGCTGCTGCAGTTCAGCCTGCTGTTGTAGTTTAGTATGCTCCATCTGTTCAGCCTGCTCCATCTGTTCAGCCTGCTACCTCTACTGCTGTAGCTCAGCCTGCTGTTGCCATTTCCCCTTATGTCTCTCCACCTACTTTTCTTTCTTTTCAGCCACTTCTGTCTATTTCATCTCCTATTCCCATTTTTTCTATTCAAATTCATTTACCTATTTCCTCTATCCTTGTAGTTCCCTCTTCTTCTGTTGCCTTACCTTCTCTTAACACTCATTCTATGATCACAAGGTCTAAAGCCTATCATCTCACTCATGCTCATTTTCTTGATCTTACTCTTACTAAGCCTACTAATGCTATTCAAGCTTTGCAATCTTCCCTTTGGACTGCTGCTATAACTGAGGAGATTCTTGCTTTTCACAAACAAGGCACTTGGAAGTTGGTTGCTCTTCCCTCTCACAAAACTACCATTGGTTGTAAGTGGGTATTTCGTATCAAGAAAATTCTGATGGCACCATTGCCAGATACAAGGCTCGGTTAGTGGCTAAAGGCTATCTGCAACAAGAGGGTGTGGATTTTCAAGATACCTTTAGCTTAGTTGCCAAACAGCCCACAATTCGCATTCTCCTCTGTCTTGTTCTTCAGCATCAATGGCCCCTTAAACAGCTTGATATATCTAATGCTTTTTTGCATAGCACCCTTGAGGAAGAGGTCTACATGGTTTAGCCCCAAGGTTTTATTGACTCAGCTTTTCCTCATCATGTTTGTAAGCTTCAGAAAGCTCTGTGTGGTCTTAAACAGGCCCCTCGTGCTTGGTATTCCACCTTTTCTTTATTTTTACTTGGTCAAGGCTTCAAGCTTAGTTCCTCTAACTCTTCTTTGTTTGTTAGACACACTCTTGCTCATATTACCATTTTACTCATCTATGTTGATGATATTTTGCTCACTGGTAATGATTCTTTGGCCATTCATTTTCTCATTACTCATATGCACACTGCTTTCTCCATGAAAGAACTTGGAGATATCTCCTATTTTCTTGGGATATCAGTTCATTCTAATTCTCAAGGATATTTTCTTTCCCAGCAAAAGTATGCTATTGAACTCCTTCAGCGAGCTGGGATGGTTGAGTGCAAGCCTTGTTCTACTCCATTGGCCCTTAAATCCTTTCACTCCTCTCCTTCAGATGACTTGCCTTACTCTAATCCGTCTTTTTACAGGAGTTTGGTAGGTGCTCTCTAGTATCTGATCATTACAAGACCTGATTCGGCCTTAGCTGTCAACCAAACTTGTCAGTATATGCAAGCTTCTACACTTGGCCATTTTGCAATGGTTAAACAGCTCTTGAGATATGTCAAGGGTACTCATCATTATGGTCTAACTTTCAGTCCTGGACCCTTTACTCTTCATGCCTATTCTGACTCCAATTGGGCAGGAGATTGTGTTGACAGAAGATCCACTTCTAGATTTTGTGTCTTTTTAGGTCCAAATTTAATTTCCTAGTTTGCTAGGAAGTAGCTTACAGCTTCCAGATCATCTACCGAAGCCGAGTACAGATCTATGGCCAACACTGTTGCTGAATTGGTTTGGTTGCAGCAACTTCTCAAAGACTTATTTGTTCCAAGCTATTCTCCTCTGGTCCTTTGGTGTGACAACATTTCTGTAATGGCCCTGGTTTCTAATCATGTATTCCACTCTTGCTCCAAACATATTGAAGTAGATTGCCATTTTATCCGGGAACATGTTGTGTCTAAGCAAATTGCTTTAACTTACATCCCTACTTGCTACTGCAGACCAACTGGCTGATATATTCACCAAGCCCTTAACCACTTCTAGGTGTCATTATCTTAAAGACAAACTAATGATTTTGCCTAATCCCATTACTTTGAGGGGGGATGATATGCTACCTAAGTCACAACAGAGCATATGTTCTCTTACATAACTGAAGATCTGAAGCAACAAGAGAGAGAGAAAGAGCTGTATAGATATAAGAGAGATAGTAATGCAACTATAAAGTAGTTAGAGGCAGTTAGAGTTTGTTATAACAAACTCTAACCATTTTGTATAAATAAGTGTAAACATAATCTAATTGAATTGATTCAGTGAAAATAGTTTTCAATTTCTATTAGTTTTCAACTTCTGTTAGGGTTCTAATAGGTTTGATAATTCTCTTGACAATAATGAGTTTTAGAAATAAATTCTAATCGAGTTGTATTTTGATTTGAAGTTAGTATTTAAGTTGGTTTAAAAGTTACAATTAAAGTAAGATTTAAGTGCTCTACATCAATGAGGATCAAAAGATTAAACAATGTTGAGTACTAGATGAGGACAACGGCGTAGGTAGGAATTCAATGGAGAGGGGGTACAAATTAATGACAACAATGAGATATTACTAAACTTAAATATTAAAAGTTCATTTGAATAAATATGAATTTTAAATTAAAGGATTTCATATTAAATTTTATACAAATATTGGGGAGTAACTATTTTATAGGTGGATTGGAAATTTAAAAAAGAAGATAAGTTGAGATAGAAATGATATATTTTAGTAGAGAAATTCTATAAAACATACCGCAAAAAAAGGCCCTGTTTGTTTTGGGGTGTAGAGGGTGGAATGAGATTAGGATGGAGGTAGAACCCATTTAGTATTGTGTTTGTTTGTAGAGCTGGCCAATAGATTAGGATGGAGGAGGAGATTAAGATGGAGGTTGGAAGGGGGATTGTCGCTGTTAATATATTTGGCGACAACATATTGTTTTTGTTGCTAAAAGTTAGTGGTTATTCCAAGAACTTTTCGCAACCAAAACTTATTCGTCGCTAAAAACGTGATTTTTAGCGACCAAATTAATTTTGTCGTTAAATAGTACTTTTGGCGACGCATTTATTTGTCGCTAAAACTACAGGGCCTATCCAAATTTCAACCTTTTAGCAACAAATTGTAATTTTATAGCGACAAAATATATGATTTTTGGCGACAAATTTTCTTGTTGCTAAATGTCTACATACGGCGACAATTTCTTATTTCGTCGCCAATACTTTTAGTGACAGGCCTTTGGCGACAAATTGTGTATTTGTCGCAGATTCTTTTGGCGACGAAATGTGTACTTTTGGCGACCAATTTCTGGGTCGCCAAATGTGTATTTTGTTGTAGTGGAGAACTACTTAACATGGAAGACTTGAGCTGACATCTGATGCATACTCACCACAATCAAAGAAAATATAAATTTATTTAATTTAACAGAACATACAAACTTTGATAGAGCTAAATGACCACAAAAAAAAAAAAAAATTATGTAGCCACCCCCACTTGATTTGATTGAGACACAAGGTTTAATTTGTTTCGGTTTGGTAAATGCATTCATACTCATCCAAAAATAATGATATTGTAAAATGCAAAATAAAATACCTTTCTTTTAAAAATGGACAACAATATTGGAATATGCCAAAAGGCATTAGTGGACAAAAAGAATGGAAAGTGGGGAATATAAACAGGCATGAAAGTAGCTATTTTGGAGGTAGATTGTCCTTCTTTATGCTTTAACAAGAAAAATGTTTTGCCCACCCATACAGTCAATTTGGCAGGGCATCTAATTTCTGGCATCTTATATTATAAAGGAAAGCACACTTGGATATTACAGGGTTTTATGAACTAGAGGCCTCATGAATTAGTTAGGTTTAATATTAAAAAAGGAAAAAATAAAAATAGAAGGAGCAAGAACCACCAAACAAACATAACATTTTTCAATGAAAAATATCCTCATCTGTTTGTATGTGAGCATGGAACAAAGAATTTGGACATCCCGGTTCTTTGGAGTTAGGCCAGCACGCACAACAATGTCTGAAGTTGCCATGCATTCAAGACACTCACCATGTTAGCCTACATGGACTTCATTTGCCCCTAGATACAATGCTTCACCTGGTTTAAGCTTCACATAGTTAAAGAGGAAAGCTAATAAATTGGATTTTCCTCACATTAATCAGAGAGCACAATTACAAACTAGAAGCACAAAGTTAAAAGTCAGTGAATAACATGAAAAAAAGATTGAGAGGACTTACCACTCCATCCTAAAATCTTGTCTTCTCTAAAGGAGTCAATATATCAACAGGATCAACAAGTTCATACTCAACAATTTCCTGAGGAGTTGATAAACAACACGGATATAGCTATGATTACCTAGCATAATAATGCGCGGACTTTGTTAATTTCAATTCAGAAATAATATTCACCTTCTTTAGGTTGGTACCATTTGAAGAATTGTTTTCAAAATGAATTTAAGCAGGCCCATAACTCACAGGATCATTCCTTTTAGTATCACAACACACATGAATTCCCATTGAAGAGGTTTATTCTACTGCCACTCAAGTAGAATTCATACCATTCAAATTATACACCCATCGTAACATCATAACCCTCCTTTTGTGCTCCAACTATACCACAATCTGACCCCAAAATCATATGATTAGAAGTTGATAGCAATCTCAAACTACATATAACAATTCAGATACCATAGCTCATTGTCAATTGTATTATATATACTGCTAGGAGACTTCACAATTGTTAACAAAAAAAAAAAGAAAAGAAAATTAATCGCACGAAGAATTGGGATAACCAAACATGCTTACGATGTTCTAATGTAAGGAATTCGTGTTGGTTAATCGTGCAGGGAAATAACTATGTCTACGAAACTTTCTTGCGGCCATATGTAGCAAAGCACAAGCTAGACATTGACAGGAATTTGCAGCAACTGAGGACCAGAGCATGGGACTTGGTGTTTTACTATCAGTGAAAGTGCACAAAGCTGAGGCAAACAACATTCTTCCAAATTATTTAGTACTTGGTTGCTTAGTCTAGAAATATCACAAAAACTAGGAATGAGGTATGGTTTTCCCATGTTAGCTCTCTCTCTATCATTTTTAGCTTGCAGGTAACTCAAGTGTGCTGGTCCATAGTGGCATGACATGCATTCACATACTTGTAAATGACAAATTTGAATTTTAGAAATACTTTTGGTATATATGAATTTGATGGCTTCAAAATCTAGGCCATATAAGTATTTTTTACGACATTATTAAACTGAGCCTTGTTTTTTGGTTGTAATTTTTGTCAATCCTTTCAAAAAGTACCACTTGGTTAAACAAATTTCAATTGTAGGGATTTGTTACTAAATGTTTATGGGAAGATGAATTGTGATACCTAAACATAAATCACTTGTGTGAAGGTGGTCTTGTTTTCGTTCTTCATGATTTCAAAAGCAAATATAATGAAAAATTTGAAACACCTATAATTTTCATTTTTATGAAAAAAAAAAACAGTTTTAAAATGTCAAAAACAACTTTTTGATATTTCCTAAAAGTGAGTTGTTTTCAGAAATTTTTTCCCAAAACAATTTTTACTTGTGTTTTTGCACCAAAAAAAAAATGAAATATGAAACAAAAAATCAAAACACAACCAAACAGACAACCATATTGCTTGAGCCCAATGTTAAGAAAACAAGCACATACCATAACTCAATGTTAAGAAAACAAGCACATGCTGTTAGCTTATGTAATGACTGTCCTCATTGACACATTGAACAACCCACCTTAATGTAGCTAACAATTCATAATGTTTTTGACTTCAAGGTAGTTGCAACAGTCTTGTGGCAATATCTTCAATCCACAAGGCAGATTGAAGGACTACATTATCTTGACGTTTTTGTTCTGCTTTATTTCTAATTGATATTTTGAAGTCATATTAGATTTAACTATTAATGAATCTTTGTATGGTTTCTTTGAAGTGTTTCAAAAAGAGAGTTTCTTGGTTTTTTTTTTTTTTTTTTTTTTGGATTGGCCACTTGACTTTTATGTTAAAGGCAGGCATCGTCCATAAGGTGATAATGTGCTGTTGTAAATCTTTATATAAGTGAATGATTGACGAGATAATGTGTATCTTTTGTTGCTGCTACATTTTTTAGCCAGAGTATTTGGATCTTTGTATAAAGGGAATACAGGCAAATATTGTCCCATTTTTTTTTACTTATTACGATTATTATTATTATTGTTATTTTTCTATTTTCTTTCATTTCATAGTTCTCATGAATGATTTGGTTTTGAATTAGATTGAGGCTGATTGAAATCATGTTATTGAACTTGCTAAAGTTCGAATTTCTTTTTGAGTTTAGGCAAGTAAGGAAATTCTTGAAAGATTTGAGTCAAAACTTCTTCATGCAACAAATTTTCAACTCTTTCATGGTTTTTTTGTAACATGCAAATGGTGATTAATAACTTCATGAATTCTGAAACCATGGACATGATTAAAGCTCATATGCATGCAAGGACTTTAAAACTCAAATTCAACATGATAAAATCAAAGATGGTCTACCATGAATGTATATGTAAGCCATCTATATGTTCTAAGACCCATTTCCTTACAAATATCATGAAATTAGCTCAAAGACATGCTGAAATCATGATGAAGAGAAGGTTAACTACAGAAAATAGGCTCAAGACTCTTACCTAGATTCTTGATTTCAAACAACAAGAGATGGTCTTCCTAGTTCCCTTCTTCTTCTTCTAACTTGAGCTTTCTCTCTCTCTCTCTCTCTACACAAGGACCACATGAGTAAAGGAATGGTACAATACTCCCTCAACTCTCATCAGAATATACACAACACACACCTCACATTTGAGTACACAACACATGCACACACATGCATTAATCCAACACACTCACAAGAGTTTTAATCCTCTACATTCAATATCACCAAATGCCTTAGCACATCAACACTTAATCCCATCTTGGATCATTAATAGGATTGGATTAGGTACCAATCATGCATTATTTAAATCAAACACAAGTAACCTTAATTAGTCAAGGTTAGCACAAAATTCAATTATTCAAATATAGTTCCAATTAAGGCTTAATTTAATCACATGGGATTTTACTAAACTGAATCAGCTTTTAACAAGACTTTTCAGATGGTTCTAAAAATTCTAATTAGTCAACCCATGTGCTCAATTCGGTTTCTAAAAGCATTTAGGCTAACAACTTCAGATTCAAAGTAGGAATCATGACAAATAATTTTCAAATTAGATAGATATGCACAAATTACTACAAAGCACACATCACAATTAACAATAACACATAATTCCATTCTAAACACTTAGTTAGCATTCTTAATTACGAATTAGTAGCTAATTATGTATCGGGGTTGTTACAAGAGACATCCTAAGCCAACCAATACCTACAACAAGAGGCCATACCCAACTGGTCCCAGATAGTAAGCATTTTTGGCTGGTCCACCAACCACTAAAATGTATTCCAAGAGTGAGAGACCTTTGCATGAGTTCAGACCATCCAATTACTATAGGATGAAAGGTAATTATCTTAAGAGAATGCCTGAACTGGGCTCAAGTCAGGGAATCAGAACCAGTAATTAGACTCCAAAATCAACTTTGAACAAGATGCAATGCAATTACCCTGAAAGAAGGCCTTAATTAGACTCAAGGCAGGGTTCCAGAGCCAGTGAATGGCCTCAAAAGTTAGCTTCAAATGTGGTTTCAAAGACTGGAAAAGCAAGTTCAGCAATTGAACTAGTGAGTTCATGGGTACCTAGGGTGCCAAATTGGTTTGTCATACAGAACAAGCCTAAAGAAATACCTGCACAGAGAAGCATCTTTGGAGACTAGGGAAAAATGATTAAACCTCCCTTGGTGGCTCCAAATAACTAGGTATTACTCAAGCACCCAAAAACAAAGGAACCATATATGGTTCCAGTAATCTCTAGGTCTCAAAGGAGGAAGATTTAGCGGAGGTACACTTAGTACCAAAAGAATCTGAAGGAAAGTGGAAAGAGTTCTTCATTGGCCCAATCAAAAGGCCAGATAGAGGAAAAAGAAAGTCCAAAATTGGCTCTTAGTCCAAAATTAGCTCCTCAGAACAAAAGAAGTGTCAGTAAAGAGTAGTTGGCTAAAGTTCACACTAAACTGAAAGCCAATGAAAGATCCAGCTTAGCAGATCTTGAAAAGGCCTTGATGGAAAGCGACAGTGAGACAGAAGGAGAAGTTGAACTAGGCCAAAGGAAAGAAATGGCTGAAGATGAGATATTTGAAGCCTTCATGGCTGAACAAATTTTTTTGGTCAAAAAACCAACAGGAGCAGACCATAAACAAGTTGATTCGAAGGAAGTCACCAGTACTGAAGTACCAGAGTGTAGCATGGAAAATGCTTCTGAAATAACTGAACAAGTTAGTTTGGAAAAAGAACAAGTGCAACTAGCAGTTCAATTTGGCTCATTTCCTCCAGTGTCAGTGAATATGGTATATATATTGCCATAGGAGTTCTAGGCTAAGATAGAAACCAAAAAGGTCAGGAAATTGACCCTATTCCAGTTTCTAGTGAAAATTCACAGGTTAGCATGATTCAAGATGAGTCTGAAATGGCCACACCAATGGAAACTGAAGATAAAAGTGAGGAAGTGAGTATTAATCTTTCGTATCCCTTCGAGTATCCTAGGACATCTATGACACAACACGTTAAGCCCTTGTATATCAAGGTTTTTTTTATGGGATACAATTGAACAGGGTGCTAGTGGATAATAGGGCAGCAGTGAACCTGCTTCCAAAGTCATCTTTAAAGAAATTGGAGAAAAAAAACCCTAGATTAATCCCAACCAGCACAACCATTGTTGGGTTCGCTGGGGATAAGCAGATGGCTCTGGGTATTCTACCTATCAACCTGAGTGTGGGAACCAGAGATTGCTTGACAAAATTCTTTATTATAGATAATAATGCCAAGTATAATGTTTTACTTAGTAGGGATTGGATCCACACCAACAAATGTGTGCTTTCCTCTCTACATCAGAAGATAATGATGGCCCTATGCAATGGAGAGACAGAGGAGATCAATGCAGACCCCCAACCCTTTATCGCTTATGTTGACTTTGTAGAGGCCAAGTTGTATACTAAATGAGTGACACCACTCAGTATATTGAGAAAACCTGATGGATCAGTCGAAGTGACGGCTGATGAGGAAGCAGCACACCTGAAGCACTTAGTTCAGGAGAGTGTTGATGAAGAATTCATCATAAAGGATGACAATGATACCTGGTTATAGGCAAAAGGATGAGACCCAAGAAGCCAGACCCTTAGCTTTAGTCAAGTTTTTAGCATTGGAATTAAAATCAATAGTCCAGAAGGTTCAGGAACAAGAGAGGGAAGTCATGGTGGTTGGCTGTAAGCAGGAGCAATAATAAGTCAGGTCTTTGACCCTTGATAAGTACTGTGCATTGGACATCGAAGCAAAAGTCCAAGAAATACAGGAAGAAGAAGTCTTATGGACAGATTTTGTTTATGAAGAAGAAGGCAAAGATGTTGAACCAGACAAGGTGG